CCCCTCCCCTAACCCCTCCCCCCCCCCCCCCCCTCCCGCTCGAAAACCGGGGGGGGTCACTACCGGTTCGAACCCCCTCCCCCCCCCCCCCCTCTGGATCCGAAAACCGGGGGGGTCACTACCGGTTCGCCCCCCCCCCCCCCCCCCCCCCCCCCCTACTCACCGCCAGCAAACGACTCCCGGTCCCCACCACCGTCCGCATCACATCCCCCACTGGTGTTCCCAGCACCACTGTCCTCACCACCGCTGTCCCCACTGGTTCCACCACCGCCCCTACTGTCCCCACCAGTGGCCCCACCACTGTCGCACTGTCCCCGCTGTCCCCAGAACTGTTCCCACCACGGTTCCACTCTCCCCACTGTCTCCACGGCCCCAACCACTGCCCGACTATCCCCACTGTCCCCACTGTCCCACTGACTCCTCCGCTGTCCCACTGAGCTGTCCCACTGTTCCCACCACTGTCCCCACTGTCCCCACCACTGTCCCCACTGTACCTCTGTCCCATTGTCCCACCGCCGTCCTCGCCACCGCCTTCACCACTGTCCCCACCACCATTGTACCCTCCACTGTCCCACTGTTTCCACCTCATTCCCATTGTCCCCACACCACTGTCCCCACCACCACCGTCACCACCACTGTCCACTGTCCCCCCCTGTTCCCACCATTGTCCCCACCACTGTCCCCACCACTACCGTCCCCACCACTGTCCCACTGTCCCACTGTCCCCACCACTGTCCCGCTATCCCCTCACCACTGTCCCCACCAACACCGTCCCCACCACTGTCCGCACCCCCACTCGGTTTTCGAGGGGGGGGGGGGGTCGAACCGGTAGTGACCCCCCCCGGTTTTCCGGATCCGGAGGGGGGGGGGGGGGGGAGGGGTTCGAACCGGTAGTGACCCCCCCCCCTTTTCATGATGAGCAGGGGGGGGGGGGGGAGGGGTTCGAACCGTGACCCCCCCCCGGTTTTCCGGAGGGGGGGGGGGGGGGGGAGGGGTTCGAACCGGTAGTGACCCCCCCCGGTTTTCCGCCAGCAGCGGTAGAACACGCTCTTTCAAAGACGAGAGAGCGTGATCCACCGCCGCTTTACGGTGGAAAATTGCCAACCTTTGACTACTTTTGAAGATTCCTCCTGTATGGGGACAGGCCCGACTCAAGGCGAGGCCGGCAGCTCCAGGGCGTGCGGGACAAGAGCACAACGCTGGAACTGTCCCAAGCCACGCCTCCTCGTGAAAAAAAAATGCCCGTCGCTCGGGCTGGTGGTGTCTCGCAAAACGCGCCCCAGGCCGCCGCACGGGCAGCGCGCGGCAACAGCGAGCAATTCTCGCGGAGCGATTACAAACATCGAGAAGACGTAAGACTCGGGTACGGGACTCAGGTTGGCCTGACGGGGCCATCATGAGAATCACGAGACCCAATCTGAAAATTGACGCGAACTCCCGCTTCTTCACACATCCCACGAAAACCAGACCGTGAAATTTCCAGGACGCGCTCGTCCAAAAACTTCGTCAAACACGAGTTCCGGCTTTCTCGAGTCGTTCAGTCGGGGCCCTGAAGAAGGAACCCTTTTCGTTGGGGAGGGGCTCCGCGTTCCTTAAGTGTTTCACAGCTTGCCTCAGGCTTTCCTTTGGTTTTCGATGGGAAATCGAAAATTAACTTATGGAAAAAAGGGGCCTCGTTCCTTATTTAGGGTTCCTTAGGTCACGACCCTCACTGTACGTTCCCCCGAAAACCTACGAGATCATCGCGTGTAGGACTGGCTCTCCGGACGACACAGCCCAAGGGGCGGGGGCCGCGCCGGCCCCATGAGTTCCCCTCGGTCTCCGAGCGTTTATGTTTATGTTGGGCACGTCCTCCTACAGGCGGCTCTCGGGAAGGACACTGAAGAACAGTCGAAGAGTGAGCAACAATAGCCAGAGAAGATTCGACAAAATCGTCACCGTCTCATTGCTCTACCATTCTTGAATCGTCCTCCCGTAGAGGGGCGCGCCCAGCTGCAGTTCGTGCTCATGCCGTTCCCTACTTTTCGACTGGCGCCGCTCCGACAACTCGCCTTCGGAGGCCGCGAGGGTCTGTGGGGTGCCGCTCGAGGTGGCCTCGACGCTGCTCCGTCACGCTTCTGTGGCAACTCACGGGGGCCTCCCGTGCCATCTCCCTGGCTTTTGCGAAGCGACGCTGACCGACGCTTGTCGACGCTGGTCGTCGCTGAATCAACGCTGATCGACGCCAGATCGGCGCTGTCCCCTCGGTTACTTACCAGAGGCTAACGGGCGCGGCTTCACTCCGAGGACGGGGGCCCTGGCACATGCAAGGCCCTCAGGAGTTGCTGCCGGGCATGCGCCTCAGCCCGTGTTCGCGCTTCCTCGATGCGGCCCCCTCGCCGCCCCCTTGCCGCGCCGTCGCTCCAGCCGCCCTCTCTCAGTCGGCCCGCGGACCTGACCTGGGGCGCGCCATCCAGCTGTTTACCAGCCTGGAACATATCCCTATCCCTATGCTGGGCACCTCCTCATCACGATGCCAATCTTAGGGATTCCCTTATTTTTTGAGGGCGAATCCCTAAGATTGTCATCGCCTTTTGGCGTGTCAATCTTAGGGATAGGGATACGTTCGAGGCTGGTAAGCTGTGGCGACGAGAACGCCCTGCAGAGGCACCAAGGACAAGGCACACAATCCTTCCGCGAGTTGCAGCCTTGAGGGGCTACCGAACCTCCACGCCCTGCTGCCACCCTGCTTGAAAGTCTCGCCCGCGAGACCCCGCGGCCACGCCAGCGAGACCTCCAGCACGGCGCGGGCCCCGCACCGCCGAGCGAGCGGGCCAGCCTCTGGTCAGGTCACGATTCGCGCCGGCGCCGTCTGAGAATGGGAAATGCTTCAAAATTCCCGGACAGCGCCGGCGCGAATCGTGACGTGACAAGCCGTCTCCCACCCCCACAGGGCACACCCGTCATTGCCAGGGGGTAGCAAGAACGATCTTTCCTACGACAAGCCCTCACAGCAGTCGAGCCATGTGCGAAACATCTCCTGGCAGCCTGGCCAGCACGCGGGCCGACGACTTGGCTTTGTAATGAAACCTCCTCTGGGAAAGCTGGACGGTGGGACTATTGACGATGTATTGTGGTAGCCGGTTGGACGCTCGAATCGTGCGCAAAAAATAAACCGTCATAGAATAGCTTCATAGCCCGGCTCAACTGGCTCAACCTCCATGTGGCAGTGTCGGGCAGGACAAGTGGTGCTTTCGGTGGTGCTAGAAACACCTTACATGCCCGAAGAGGCCCATAATAGGTCCAAAAGAAGGCCCCAAATGATCCCCAAGAGGCCTCAAAAGCCCTCGCCCGTGACTTCTTCCCCCTTCCGGGGGTCGGCGGAATAGCGTAAGCCGCCTGACAAAAATAACAATGTCAAGGTGGCAGTGTGGGGCAGGAGGGCGGCCAACATAGATTGGACGTTGCCAAAGGAGGCCCCCCATGGATTGCTACAGCGGGAAGGGGCCCTTCAAGCAAGCGGTTGCACGTGAACGACGATCAGAAACAGCTATTACGCGAGATGGCATGGCGACCTCACGCCGCGGCTCGCGCGGGCCGCCAATGCAGCACGCTACACTGGAATCGAGGGCGCGTACGAGTGACCTTCTGCGAGTAGCTTGCGCGCGAAGGTCGGCGCAATCGACCCCCGTTTCTTATGTCGGCCACGTGGGAATGTAGTGATCGCCACTTTCAGAGAACGGCCTGCACGGCCGCCACGCATCACAAGAACGCAAGGCATGTTGCGATATCCTGAGGCGCACTCGGTCCTCACAGTGACACATGCAGCGAAATGAGTGCGCGGTAGCCGAGCCCTAAATCCCAAGAACATGGCTGCTCATGTTTTGACGTACATCTGGAACTCCCTGTCGCCATATGCGCCGTTGTGAGCCACGCATACATCACAGAGCGCGGGAGGGGCTGGGAAGGGGCATGCCACTCCTCGACACTGACCTTGCCCCGAATTGTGGCCGCCGCGATCGCCGCGGCGACCTCCCGTGGGAATCCAGACCTCTCGACCCAATCTGTGGAGCGTTTGGTCGGAATCGTCTTTGCATGTCACGAGCGATGGGCCTGTTTTCAACCCTTTGCACCAGAAGTTGGAGGGGGAGGGGGTCCTCCTCCTCCTCCTCCTCCTCCTCCTCCTCCTCCTCCTCGTCCTCCTCCTCGTCCTCCTCCTCGTCCTTCTCCTCCTCGTCCTCCTCCTCCTCCTCCTCGTCCTCCGCCTCCTTCCCCCCTCCAACTTACGGTGGTGGTGGTGGAAAACAAGCCCCTCAACGAGGCCCAGAAGCGGCCCGCAGGGCCCGAGCATCGTGAGAAGTGAGAAGCATCTGGCGCCAGCCTGCAACAACCACAGGAGGTCTGTGCCTCCTTCCTCGCCAGGTGCAGCAGCCCCCGGGGCCCCTTTAGGGGAACGAGCAATGACATAAACATAGAACTCGGAGGTCCGCGCGCCTAAAGCACGACATAACAACTCCGAGGTCTGGGCGCCTGAACAATGACATAAACATGACGACTCCTTAGGGAAACGAACAACGAAATAAACATACAAAAAAACACGAACAATGGCATACACATAAACATAACAATTCAAAACTGGACCCCCTTGGCGGCGCCTCCGGCGCCGCCCCTGGCGCGCTCAACGCGCTAGGGAGGGGGGTCCAGCGCCGAACCGAGAAATCCGCGCGGACCTCCGAGTTCTTATGTTTATGTCATTGTTCGTTCCCCTGCTCTTCTGGGGTGCGCCTTACCGGGAAAGTCGACGGGGAGTCCCGCCGTGGCGAAGAAAGCCGATCGGAAACGAACGACACATCACCGAACCTTGATCATCGAATCTGCTATGCTTAGGTCGGAATGTCCTCTACAGGCAGATGTTAAACGAAACATGACACGTAGTCAATAACATTTGAATCTCTAGAAACATCGTCCCCGTACTCTATGTTTGAGGAGTCCTCCTGTCGAGCAACATGCCCGACTTCATGCTATCCTCGATCCCCCCTCGCACCAAGCAGAACTCGCGGGCCGCCCAGGCCTTCGGCTCCGCGACCCTTGCCGGCCGCTTGCGCTCCCAGCTTCCCCGCGCCAGGCTTGCCCGCTGCGGGCTTCCCCGCGCCGGGCTTGCTCCCGCCAACTGCGGGCTTGCCCTCGCCAGGCTCGTGCGACGCGGGCTTGCCCGCTGCAGCCTTGCCTGCGGCGGCCCTGCCCGCCGCGGGCTTCCCCGAGCCGGGCTCGCCCGTGCCAGGCTTGCCCGCGCCAGGCTTGCCCGCCACAGCCTTGCCCGCTGCGGGCTTCCCCAAGCTGGGCTCGCCCGAGCCTGGGGACACTAAAAGGTACTCCGACTTTCTTGATAAGCATTGGGGGGGCGTCAACCCCGCTGACAGCCCCACATCTACCCCCGTCGCGGGCAGCCACCGCGCGCCGAAGGCGCTCCGACCCCCGTCGCGGCGCGACGACAAGGCGAGGTTGACCCCCGTCGGGGGATACCCCCCCACGCTTATTTAGAAACCCAGAATACCGATACCGCGAACCGGACCTCTCCCGGGGTGCCTTCTGCCCAGAATTCCGCGGCGAAGCCACTGGTGGCGACGACAAGGGGAAAACGAGGGAAGGGCAGCGGCATGGGCACCGTTTACCAGCCTCGAGCGTATCCCTATCCCTAAGATGGGCGAGCAAAAAGCGAGGACAATCTTAGGGAGAGGCCCTCAAAAGCTGAGGGAATCCTTAGGATCGGCATCGAGGTGAGGTGATGTCAAACATAGGGATAGGGATATGTTCCAGGCTGGTAAACCGCTTCCTCCTCCGAGCGCCGGGACCCTCCGCGCCCAGGGGCGGCTGCGCCGCGCCGGGCTCCGCCGTGCCGGGCCGTGGGGCGCTGGGGCTCGCCGCGGCGGGCTCCGCGGCGCGGGGCTGCGGGGCGGGCCCGCGGCCCTTGCCCCGGCCCTTGCCGCCGCCCGGCCGCGACACCTGAGGCAGAGGCGGGTGGCGAGGGGGCTCCCCCGCCGCCTCTTCCACGCCCTCCTCCCCTTCCCGGCCCTCCACCTCCCTCCAGCTCCCGTTCCTCCTCCTCCTCCTCCTCCTCCTCCTCCTCCTCCTCCTCCTCCTCCATCCTCTCCTTCGTCGGTCGCCGCGGCAAGACATCCAGGAGCAGGAGCATGAACGGACGGGCCCCTCGAGAATGGGGTACCCGTACAAGTATCAGTGACTGGCGCACGAGGGGGGGTACCCCAGCGACGAGCGTCGCCCCAACGCTCGATTGACTGGATCCAAGGCTGAACAATCGATCCTCAACCAGGCATACATTCGAAATACATGTTCTCAAGCTCGGTTGCTAGCAACACGGCGAATATGCACATGAGCCATAATATCACGGATCGAATTCGGGACGTGGACGTCGATGTACATCCGAAAGGCTAATGCCATTGCAATGCTAATCAAAGCTGTGCATTTGCATCCTCAGCGCAGACGTTTGCGCAAAGGCATAGCTTCTGAGCGACAACGCAACTGGAGGAAAACACGAGTGCGAGCACGCACGTCAGTGTGAAATGGGATCGGTAACAGCCTGTTCAGCCGCAATCCATACAAGGGACCGTCCCTGGAGCCTTCGCGCTCGTCGACGGCGTCCCTTCTCCCGACCGGGGCCATGACCTCCTCCTCCTCCTCTTCCTCCTCCTCTCCTCCTCCTCCTCCTCAGGGTGCCAGGAAAACTCTTGAGACGACGCTCCAAGGGGTTCCCTGTGTGTGTGTGTTTTATGTGTGGTGGGGTGCGGAGCGCTGCTTCAGGCGCGCGAGCGCCGATTGTGGGCGCCAGCGAGGCGGCGGTTGAACTGGCGGCCCTGGACCGCGACCGCGACCACACCGAGCCAGGAGCGCCGGCCCCGCCGACGGCCGGGGCGGCGCAGGAGTGCCCCGAGCAGGTGGAGAGTGTGGAAGTGTGGAGGCTGGTGGCGCGAGCAGCTTCCAGCGGGTGCTCAAAAAGGTAAGCTCGTCTCCTCTTCCCCTGGGTTTCGCATCCGTTGGCGCAGGCGCCGTGCCATACTTCACGGTCGGGGTATTCGTCATGCCGCCCCCCGAACGCCGTGCTTGTCGTCGTGCGCCAGGGCACGTGCGAGATCCCTCAGAAAGCGGGACGATCGGGGGTGTTGCTCCAAGGGGGGGGGGGGCGATAGGTGAGGATGAAGACAGAGGTGCACTCTTCGCGCACCTTCGGGGCATTAGGGGTCCCCTGGAGGGCCCCCTGCAGCCCTCGATCCACCCCTCCACGTGTATAGAGGCCTCCCAGATGGGGTCCGAGCACATGGGCTCGGAAGATCGCGCCGCGTCACCGATGCATCGGCGAGGCATCGACGATAGATCGACGACGTCGGCGATGCATCGGCGACGTCGGCGTGGAGAAAATCGGGTTCCACATCGAGCCGCATCGCCGATGCATCGGGGACGCGGCGCGATCCTCCGACCCCGTCTACTCGGACCACACTTGGGAGGCCCGTGACGAGACGCCGGAGGCCAAGGATTGCACCCCCCCGCCGGCGGAGAGCGGGTGCATCGACGCGCAGGACGTCGTGGCAGCGGCGGGTGAGCCCACGGCAGAGCCCGCAGGCAAACAGGGCGTTCGGGCGTTATAGGGGGAAATAAGTTAGGGGGGGAAAAAGTTATGGGGCGTTGTGGGGGGCAACAAGTTAGGGAGGGGGGGGGGAACGTGCACACGTCGCACTTATTTTGGGCCCCAGGGGGCCCCTTCAGGGCCCCTTCAGGGTGTAAGAGGTGCACCTCTCAAGGGAGCCCACAAAGGACGTACGCGCCCAACCACGCACACGAATACATGCCCACGTTCCGCGAGACTGGCCTCGTGATACGAACGTTCGCGCAATCTTGACTTTCGACACCAACGTGGATTCATGTAGGTGTACTTGGAGGCCTAGAAATAGGCACCAACACCAACATAGGGGTATGCCTCCACAGGGATAAGATGTTCCTAGATTTCGGTGTTGGTGATAACATTCTGGTCACCTTGGAAGTCAGAATATTACCCCGATCACCGAGATCGGGATCTTTTTCCGTCGGTGGAGGCACACCGCCCAAATCGGTGTTGGTGTCAACCTCTGGGCCTGCGATGCACGTCCTTCTGTTGCTCCTGACCTTCTCCACCCGGCCAGTCGTCGCCCCTGCACGACGCCACGCCCGAGGCGTCTGCGCGCCCTCTGCTGCGGGCTGGGGGGGGGGAGGCGGGCTGGGGCCTGCAGTTGGGAGAAACAGAAGCAAGCACGCCAGGTTCGTGGTGTGCCGACTTCGGCGTGGGCTTCTGACACCGCGGGGGAACGTCCAGCCTCGAACGATCGGCCGTCTCCGAAGCGTCCAAGCCGTTCCACGGCGAACGATTCTGGGTCGCCCGCGGCGTTCAAAAATGGAACGCCGCTGGCGGGGTCGCCGCCGGTCGACACGCCATGAACCTACCGTAGGGAACCCAACAAATCAAATCAAATCAAATCACATCTTTTTAATCGTCGTGCAGGCATGCACATAAACTTTGAAGCTTCGCGCTGATTTCTTGGATCGGCGCTGTGCCAGCCTGGCGGCGCCTCTGGCGCCGCTCCTGGCGCGCTCCGTGCGCCAGGGGCCGGGGCCCGGTGCCGATCCAGGAGATCCGCGCGGGAATCTCCAGCAGCTGATGTCTGTGCACGCAAAGTATTTCTTCGGCCAGGGATGAAACATGAACGAAGCTACCTCGCTTTTGACAACCCTGGCTTCCAGAGGGAAGCTGGACGATGCTGAGCTACCCGTGGGGTGGCCCGCAGCGGTGAGGCTGCTTGACGAGAATGCTTTGGGTCTAACTTGGTTTCGCCTGGAAGCGAAAGCGAGGAAGGGAATCTACCCTCTGAACAAGGCTTGCGAGTTTCGTGGCTGAGAGCCGAAGGCAATTCATGCATCGGTGCAATACTTGCACCGTCGAGAGCTCTGCACATGTACGTGCATCAACTTCTTTCAACCACCGCGTCCTCCGCCTCCTCCCCCTCCCCCGCTGCCAAACCCGCCCTGCAGGCAATGCCCGAATGTGCAAGGTCAGGCTAGCGAGATTACGGCCCAGGAGCGCCGGATTCAGCCCGAAGGTCGCCGTCTCGACCTTCGGGTCCAAGAAGACGTTCTCCGGTAGCCTGTTCCCCCTCGCACTCCTCCTCCTCCTCCTCCCCTCCTCCTCCTCCTCCTCCTCCTCCTCCTCCCCTCCTCCTCCTCCTCCTCCTCCTCCTCCTCCTCCTCCTCCTCCATATTATTCACTCGCCCTCCCTTTCCCACCCTCCTCCTCCGTCGTCCTCCCTCCTGCCTCCGAGCTCCCTCCTGTCCTGCCTTCTCCTGCAACCCCTCCTCCACCTCCTCCTTCTCTTCGTCCGCATCCTCACCCCACTTCTTGGCCCCTTCCTGGCCATCCCCGCTCTTCGAAATAAAAAAGAAAGACTGCGTAAACATCAGTGTTTGGAAGTCCGCGCGGGTTTCTCGGCTCGGCGCCGGACCCCCCCCCCGTGGCGAGATAAGGTGTTACCGCGGCCCGTTGGTTGTTACTGCGGCCCGGTGGGTGTTAGTATGGCCAGGGGTCCTCCGGAGTGTATTAATTATCGAGTACGGTGAAGGGGGGGGGAGGTCCAAAAAGGCTCCGCCCCCCCCCCCTTCACCGAAGAGCCTCTCGGAAGAGCTTCTGGTGCTCTCCGAAGAGCCTCTTGGAACCGCCGAAGACCTTCTTGCAGCCGCCTAAGAGCCTCTTGGGCTCTCCGAAGAGCCCCGTGGGGCCTCCGAAGAGCCTCTTGGGGCATCCGAAGCGCTTCTTGGGCTCTCGGAAGAGCCTCTTGGGCTCTCCGAACTACGACTGCTACACTGCTGCTACTACTACTACTACTACTACTACTACTACTACTACTACTACTACTACTACTACTACTACTACTACTACTACTACTACTACTACTCCTACTCCTACTCCTACTCCTACTCCTACTCCTACTGCTACTCCTACTCCTACTCCTACTCCTACTACTACTACTGCTACTACTACTACTACGACTACTACTACTACTACTACTACT